CGTGTGTTTTTGTTTCAATGATGGCAATATCAGAACCCTGCCATATTGTCACAGCAGTATTGGCCGGGTGTGTTTTGATTTAGATTTGGGTACTTTTATTTTTTAATTTTTGGGGACGCAACATGATGACGTTCGTCCACGTTTCCTTCATTTCGATATATTGTCAGTCGATCTCTCTCTTGGTTGAAGGCAATGAAAAGGAATGTCCTACGTGACCCCGGCTGGTTCGACCAGAAGTACTTCAGTACCGGGAGGTGCAAAAGTCCAACGTTCAGAACAAATAGGATGAAGAAAAACACAAACACTATTTGTTGACGTTTGTTTCATGTCCATATTGCGTACCCAAGCCTAAACACACCCCTGTTCTGAATTGCTGCAGCTCACACGTGAAACACTGGACATCTTTATACCTGCTTATATCGTTCATCGAAATTTTTCATATACATATATATATATAATTTGCAGGATGCGCCGTCGTGGCCTGCGCCTCTTGTCCTGCTAGCGGCGGATGCCGGGGACGGTTTCGTGCCTTTGGGAGCCACCACCGCCAAGGCGGGAAGGAAGGTGGCGACTATCTTCGAGGACCCTAGGTGAGTCTTGTCTTGTTTGTTGTCGCTGTTGTCGTTGATGGTGTTGTCATAATAGTGTTTTTGTTGTTTTTGTGTGCCGAGGCAGCCGTCGATATCACTGCCAGATAAGGCCGCTGCTTTTTTTTATGTCTATGTTGACGTGGGTATCTCTAGTCTGACACAAGAGCAAGACTTCAAGCTCGCATCCATCCGTGGGGATTGATTCCACCACGCGAGACGGCTTTGGCCCTGCCGCGATATGACCAGCGTGCCGTAACGTTGCATATTTACATAGTTACGGTCCTTTTCTGAAAAATGCACCCTCCAACGCACGTCAAACTGCCGATGCCTTTGGAACCTCCTTGTGTCAGTCCTGCAGCTACCACAGCGTTTATGTTTTGGCGGTCGGATTGTTTAACGCTGACTACGAGGTTCCGGGTGCTCGGCAGAGTACTAATCTACGGGCCCTTTCTGGGGGGGGGGGGGGGGGGGGCCCCGGGAGGCTTTAAAGGATTAAGGGGCAGAACTTTTTTGGT